ATATATATATATGTATATATATATATATATATATATATATATATATATATATATATATATATATATGTATATGTATATATATATATATATATATATATATATATATATATATATATATATATATATATATATATATATATATATATATATATATATATATATATATATATATATATATATATATATATATATATATATATATATATATATATATATATATATATATATATATATATATATATATATATATATATATATATATATATATATATATATATATATATATATATATATATATATATATATATAAATAATTATTATACAAAATTATTAGTCCCCTTGTTTATTTTTTTAACCAATTTCTGTTTAACGGAGAGATTTTCCAACACATTTCTAAACATAATAGTTTTAATGACTCATTTCTAATAACTGATTTATTTTATCTTTGCCATGATTACAGTAAATAATATTTGACTAGATATTTTTCAAGACACTTCTATACAGCTTAAAGTGACATTTAAAGGCTTAACTATGTTAATTAGGTTAACTAGGCAGGTTAGGGTAATTAGGCAAGTTATTGTGTAGCAATGGTTTGTTCTGTAGACTATTGAAAATATATAGCCTAAAAGGGCTAATATTATTTACGTTAAAATGGTGTTTAAAAAATTTAAAACTGCTTGTATTCTAGCCAAAACAAAACAAATAACTTGACTTGAGATTAGAATATGTGTTAGCTTTTTGTAAGTGGTTTTATGTTTTAGAATAGAAACATAGGCGCTACAGGATGGGCCATTTACATATATTGCAATGAATATGGAAAACGAGTGCATGTTTTTACTAAAACTAATGTATTTTTTAAAATGCATGTGCGTGTAAAACATTCATTCATTCATTTCTTGTCAGCTTAGTCCCTTTATTAATCCGGGGTCGCCACAGTGGAATGAACTGCCAACTTATCCAGCACGTTTTTACGCAGCGGATGTCATTTCAGCCGCAACCCATCTTTGGGAAACATCCACACACACTATTACACAACAGACAATTTAGTCTACCCAATTCACCTGTACCGCATGTCTTTATACCGTGAAGAAAACCGAAGCACCCGGAGGAAACCCACGCGAATGCAGGGAGAACATGCAAACTCCACACAGAAACGCCAACTGAGCCGAGGTTAGAACCAGCGACCCAGCGCATTTAAATTAATTTGCACAAAAATGTTATGGGGATTTTCTTTAAAGAAGTCGTTACTGCACCTCGTTTAGAGCGTCATTATAACTAATTTTCTGTTCTGAACACAATGTAGCTGTTTTAGTTGTCTTTAATGCTAGTTCTCCCCGCCCATAGTTCCCACGTGCCTGCCAGAGTGTGCCTCAATCTCTGCCTCAGCTGCATCAGATAAAGAGCAAAATGACAGGCATGAAGTAACATTTGAGAGAAATACTACAGTAAGAACTTTCCCAATGATTATTTGATGTATTTGTTGTGGAGTTTATTCAAGCCTTTCTGCAACGATGAGTCACACACAAGGTCATTACAAAGTTCACACACAAACACACAGAGACACACACATAGTGTGAGTGTTTAACTTTGCAATGTTTTTTGCATGGCAAATGTGACAGGATACATGTTAATATCCACTGCTGTATGTATATCTGTTATGTTAATGTACATATTAAATCTGATTTAACAAAAGATGATTTTCATCATAGATGCTCTGTAATATTTTGAGCAAAAGATGTAAAGGTTAAACAATAAAGAGTATTTACAGCCCTCTTTTGGGTTTTTTACCAGTGGTGCCTTTACAGTACATACAGTATAAAGGCCATGGTTTCAGATTTAGAAGCAGAACTATCAGTTTATATAATGATGTTAGGTCAGGACCTACTGGCCTCATTCTGATCTGAATTAGCTTGAGTCATACTGCGCTTCTCATGAATATAGTGTGCTCTGCCAACATCTGTGTTCCTCTTCCAAGAACAGAAGATCGGATTGCAATGAGAACCAGGGAGATTTGATTCAATCCTGGTCTAAGCAGACTGCCTGGCATCCCAATCACAGCTCAATATCTTGCTGCCGATGTTGTATTTCCCTCCAGGCTTTGTTCCTATTCCCAGAGTTGATCTGTGCTGCATCCTAACACTAGCGCTCAAAGATTAGCATGTGGCTCACCTTAGCTTTCATTTCCTCCAGGTTCACTGTGGCGACTGTGCTGGCCTGTTGCTGCTGCTGGGTTTGCTTTTTGTCATCTCTTTGTGGCCTCAGCAAACGCTCCAACCTGTGTTTGATCACCTAGGAAAGCGAGGGGGAGCGAGGGTGAAGAGGGCAACAGGGAAAGTAGGACAAATGAGGGCTATAAACATAGTTTTGCAGCACCAGCGTTTCTGCTGCTCAGCTCAGAGGTCCGGTCTTATCTGCTCTTATGGGAAATACTGCTCACCGTGTAGGAGAACAGCTATGGCTCGAAAATGAATGGATGTGGAACAGGCAGAGGGCCAAAACAATGAGCGCCTACCTCATATACATAATCCAGAATTTCCAAGATGGTGAGGACGCTGGCTCCTATAAAAAGACCCATTTGCCCACCAATGTCCCCTGAAAATAAAAGATGGACAGAGACGATCTGCATAGGTGAATGCTCTTTTTTACGTATTTCTAAATAAAAGTCTTGTCACCTATCCATTTTTAGGAACAATAAATATTAACTTGAGATCAACTTCTAGTTGATCATTTGGTTTCAGAAGTGGCTAATGTGAAAGGCAAAGGCCTCTAGATTACGCTTATTTAGACTTTAAGTCTTGTCACTTAGCAGAAATAATGTACAGTATAGAATATAAAGTCATGGTGCGGCAGAAAAATCAATCATCTTAGATGCCTCCATCTTACCCCAGACATGCTCAATAATGATCATTTCTGGTGACTGGGCTGGCCAATCCTGGAGCACCTTGACCTTCTTTGCTATCAGGGACCTTGATGTGGAGGCTAAAGTATGAGGTGCGGTATTCTGCTTAAGAGTTTGTAACGTAATGGGCAGCACAAATGTCTTGATACCTCAGGCTGTTGATGTTGCCATCCACTCTGCAAATCTCTCATACACCCCTATACTGAATGTAACCCCAAACCAAGATTTTTCCTTCATTAAATTTGACTGATTTCTTTGATAATCTTGTGTCAATGTTGGCTACAATAGGTCTTCTGCAGTATTTGTGATGATTGTGATGCAGTTCAACAGATGATTTATCAGAAAAATTTACCTTCTGCCACTTATTCAAATGATCAAGAAGTCAAGTTATTATTTGTTGCTCTTACAACTGGGTTCGACAGCAAGACTTTTGTCAGGTAGTGTAATTGTTTAGAAAATGAAATTGACTGAATAAAATGATTTTTGTTATTAAATTAGAAAAAGAAAAATCAATAAATCAATAAATAACAAGGGTAAAAACAGCAATAGCATGTATGCTAATGTCAGTTAAAAATGTCTAACAAAAAATGAGTTATTATAATTATCAGATGACACAAAATTAAGACAAATTATTCTTCTTAGGTACAATGTTCATTAATGAATAGCTAAAAATAAGACCAGGAACATTCATCAGCCTAAAATGATTTTCTTAATCTTCAGAAAACAAATGAACAAACTTTTAATCAAGTCTGAGAAATTTCTGCCTCTTATGCTTGAAAATGTTCAAAGAAAGAAAGAGTGAGTGAGAAAAAGAGGGAGCAAAAGTAGAAAAACATATGAATTCTGAATCTTCAGATGAGGTATAATCACTTTATATGATCAAGAGATTATTATCAATATTTTTTTACGTATAGACATTGATCACTGAAAAAAACAGTAATAGTATACTTGACACATAAAATAAAATCTCATTGGTCCTAGCAGAGACTCAAATATGATGCAAAGGTGAAAAAGATGAAAGGTATTTTCACACTAGCACTTTTGGTCTGCACCTGGGTTCGTTTGTTATTAAAGTATGGTACATTTAGCTAGAATGCTGTCTTCTAAACTCAAGTGCGCATCTACGAACTGTGCCTGAGTCCGCCTGAAAGAAGTGGTCTGGGGTATGGTTCGCATGAACTCTAGTCTGGTTCAAATAAATAAAGTGAGCCTCCAAATGCATAACAATAGCTGCTTTTCCACTATCGTGCCAAACCGTTCTAAGAACACTTCGGTACGGTTACGGTTGTTTCTCCACTGAGCCTGGAACGGCGCGGCACGATTACAAACCGTTCTTGGCCCGGAATTTTCGGCACGGTTAGACAACCGTGCTGAACTGTGCTGACAGATTCTGTGTGTTGACGTCGCGACTCGGTTGCTAAGCTACCACAGCTGGCTCAGCAGAAGCGCGCTAGTCATCAGACATCCTCAATAAACTACAGTACATTTAATATAAAATAATGATCCAGGTCTAAACGATATTTGAAAAGGATTTTAAAACCATAGAGCAGTCTCTGGAAGAGAAGTGAATAACTCATCACATTCTTACGAAGATATTTTATTCATTAAAGTTATTATTTTATTGACTTGAATACAGACCTACATCGCTTGCCTGAATGTGAGTTTATTGCACGCAGCG